CCATCTAATGGGTGGGCTGTTGCCATGGCGCCGACAGGTGTTGCTGATTTGGGTCTTCTTCACTGGCCTCGTTTCTGTGGAATTAACCGTCGCTTCATTGCAGGACAAGACGACGCCGGGACATACGCGAGAGTTGTATCAAGCGAGACATCTGTTTTTCGACCCAAGTCAACCCGCCTATCTGCCTCGAACCAACGAGGACCATAAGACATCAACGCTCCTTCGTCCACCCATACTGGATCCTCATGTGATTCCTTCGTCGAGGAAGTCGACCCAGCATGACACACCTCTGGAGGCGAAACAGAACCCACCCAGCCCTGACAGCCAGGCGAAGGGAGCGGCGGGTAGACAGGACGGACAAGTTGCAGAGCCCTCTTCGGAGGAGGAGGCTGAATTTAGCCTCGATCAGCTTTGGGTGAATCATCCGCCTGGGAACATTCTGGGCGGATGGAATCCGGACCCTCCCGAGAGTCGTAAGTACACGTTGCTGTCTGCTTTCGCTTCGTTGCACCCGTTTTTCGCATGCCTCTTCTGGCCACAAGGGGCTTTCGGGATCGCGATATCTCATTATGCGTGTATTTCGGTGACTCGTGCTCATGTCACCAGGCCATACGGATTGTAAACGGACCTAAGAAAGTTGGCGTATCTTAACTTTCTTTTGGTGAGGCGAGTGCAAGGAATTCGCAAGTTGGCCTCATCGGAAGTCGAAGGAAGCTGGTTGGTTTGGAGCGGTGACTGCAGATTTGTGCGAATAACTCCACTCACTGTCCAGCCAACCCGAAGATTCCTTGCTGAACTGTCGACCGTCCTGTGACGGACATCGCCAGATCGGAACACCATGCTTAACGACAATTCATCATTTTCGTCTTTGTGCTTGGTGCATTGTCGACATGCCGTGAGGCCAACTAGGGAATCCCATCCATTCACCTCTTCACACAAAACGTTATGTACTCCAACAGCACTCTATCAAGAGATTCTTCGAAATTCAATTTTTCTACATATCTAAGATAGCAAAGTTGTTGTCATGGTGATATGCGTAGACCTGATGAAGACATTGAATTTCAAATGGTCTCGTCTCTCAAAAGGTTGGCTGTAGTTTCGACCTCGTCTAGGCCTCATCAGTAGCCTAAGCAACATGATGCAACAAAATTCCTACCATCGAATTATGGATAGTTGCGTAAAAAGTAGGTGATTTTGGGACTATCAGTAGCTTTTTAGTAGGAATTTAGTGAGAGGCCGAGTTAGATGACATCCTCAATGGTGTCTTTGCGCCTATCTATCTCATTCTGGGACAACTGAATTGTTGGTCCTTCAATCGCCATAAATGGCCTAAGCTGACTGAGTTCTCCTTCAGTGGCAAATACATGCTTACCTCATGGACACTTGAGATAGGTCCGGTTTGCCTTGTAAGTCGCATCTTTTGCTGTGACTTATATTATATCTATCTGTAGGTCTATTTATGAAACGAAAAATAGGTTATGTAGGCGATTGTTATGGCAAATAAAAATTTGCTTCATCGAAAATCCCACCACACGTGATATGGGAAGAATGTCTGACCTTTCTTAAGAGTAACCTCTGCCCTGTGATCCAAGGGCTCTCTTGGCACTGTTGCGTAGTGGTTAACGAGTCGAGATCACACACAGCATTGTCATGGTTCGAGTCCAGCTCGGGGGGCTGAAGAGGCCAATTAAGGCGAGGTCGAAAATTCAGTGCACTCGTGCATGGACGATAATACTTTTTGAGAAGCAATTACATGTGAAATTCAATATAAACATGGGTCCTACTCATCAAATTGTGGGAAAAGCAATTGCACGCCAGTTACAATTACAATGCTATACGAAAAACAAGAAATCTATATCCGGGAAAGTCAATACTATTAGATTCTTTAAAGTATATTTCACATAATCCAGTTGCTAAACGTTGTATTCTTGGTAGACGTCCAGATTTACCTATTTCCACTAATAGAAAACTGGAGCATAAATCAGGTGGTTTGGTTAAGACTAGACTAAAAGAAATTATAGACAAATTTCATGACCTGATTAGAACCAAAGCAAGGACTAGACAATCTCTTTCTTTGCTGTTTTCTCCAGAAGACTTTCTCAAATTGCAGGATATGGCCTCCATAGGTCCCGACATGATAAGAAATTAAGGAATTTAGGCATTAATATCAGCTTAAGGAATCATCGAAACAATAAGGAGGTAGTTAAACTTAGTACTATATTATTTAGCAAAAATAAAGTCATTAATTTATCCAGTAACCAATTAGATGCTAATGTTACGCTCTTCTTGGAAAGGGATCTAAACTTTGCCTTTCCAAATGAACAAAATCATTCTAACGAGATACTAGTTGAGTTAATTAACATAACGGACAAGCTGCCAGAAGAGGCTAAGAACAGTACAGAAAGAGAAGTGATTCGTCATTTTGTTGAGGTAATTGCTCCAAAGAAATCGTATGACTTGAATAAAGTTTCCAGATATTTGCACCAAAATGATCTGTTTGTTTTAAAG